GCCAAGGCTGAGCTACAGCGTGTCCTGTCCAAGGCCAACTCAGAGGTGGCCCAGTGGAGGACCAAGTATGAGACGGACGCCATCCAGAGGACGGAGGAGCTGGAGGAAGCCAAGTGAGTCCTCTGTGGGTACCACCTGCATTTGCAAAGAGAAAGGGGCGGGGCATCTGCTGTGAAGACAGGCAGAGTAGGCACAGGATAGAGGAGTGGGGAGGACGGGTAAACAAGAGAGGCATCTGAGAGAAGCCTGACTCCTGCACACCGGAACATCCGGCTGGCCGGCCCTGATGTATTTCCTTTGACGGGTGAGCTTTTGGCCCGGGTTATACCTGACACTCACGTATAAGACGAGCAAAAAGCTTGTTGGTCAGAGGAGCGATCGCCATTCAGCCTGGGGGGGGACTCAACCTGGAGGGGGGCACTGCCACCCAGATGGCTGTGGCGGGGGAGAAGGGCTGAGCAGCCTATGCTAGAAGACTCTGTCCTAGGCACCAACAGTCTCACCTCCTCTAGACTGGGGTTCGAGGACCTCAGGGATCACTGGGGAGAAACTGGGTTTTTCTCATCAACACTGGGAAGAAGAGGATCATGTCAAGGCCTTGATGCCCCAAGTACAGTCACATACATTCCCCTGGACAGGAAGAAGCTGGCCCAGAGGCTTCAGGACGCAGAGGAGGCAGTGGAGGCCGTCAACGCCAAGTGCTCCTCCCTGGAGAAGACCAAGCACAGGCTGCAGAATGAGATCGAGGACCTGATGGTGGATGTGGAACGCTCCAATGCCGCCGCCGCAGCCCTGGACAAGAAGCAGAGGAACTTCGACAAGGTAGGCTCACGGCGGGGCTGCGGGCAGCGCAGCGTGCATGTGCGCGGGGCTGGTGGGGGCAGTGCCAGCTCAAGGCCAGAGCATTCTCCTTGGAGGCAGGGGAGGGGCCTGGGGCAGCTCTGGACAGCTTGCCCCTGCCCTGCAGATCCTGGCAGAGTGGAAGCAGAAGTATGAGGAGTCCCAGTCAGAGCTGGAGTCGTCCCAGAAGGAGGCGCGCTCCCTGAGCACAGAGCTGTTCAAACTCAAGAATGCCTACGAGGAGTCCCTGGAGCACCTGGAGACCTTCAAGAGGGAGAACAAGAACCTCCAGGGTGTGTGGCCGAGGGGCGGGAAGGGCCACAAGGGCAGGGGAGGACCAAGTGTGATCGCACAGACCCCCAATATTGATCTTTCTGGTCCTCTGATCCTCAGAGGAGATCTCAGACCTGACTGAGCAGCTGGGAGAAGGGGGGAAAAATGTGCATGAGCTGGAGAAAGTCCGCAAGCAGCTGGAGGTGGAGAAGATGGAGCTGCAGTCGGCCCTGGAGGAGGCTGAGGTAAAGGGCTGCCTCTCTCTGCACCCTCCAGTCTGTCCCATTGTGTCCTACCTTACAGGAGTCACCCTGATCCAAAGGCAAAAGTCTCTTGGCTCCCGTTCTTGGTAGAAGATCATGTACCCAGTAATCATTTACTGCCTCCAAAGCTAAGGTCTTCACCCTGGACAATGCCATGGTCTGCTTTTAGGGCAGAAGGTTTGCTTCCCAGTTGGAATCTGGCCATCATAATGACAGCTCAAACAGCTGGGGAGGAACTCAGGCCCCAGAGCCAAATGACCTGGGTTTGAACCCTGGCATGAGACCATCTGGGTGCCTTGCTGTCCTCATTGGTAAGGTGGAACTAATATATACACCTCATAAGACTGTGTATGATTATTATGAAGATGGAGCAAGATAACACAGTCAAGGATTTGTTATATATTAGCCATTGCAACTGTGCTTTTCTACGAAGCCACAGGGCTATGGAAACTTCAACCTTTTCTATGATTTTATTTTGGCGGGTCAGGACTCCTGCTATGTTAGTCCCAAAGGTCTGGTGACTGAGAAGTCAGATTCTTTTCTTTTCGGAGGATGGTCCAGGAGTTAGGAGGCTCTAGGGGTCCAGCATTTCCTCTCCCACTGCAGTGTGGGTACAGGGTCTATCACCACAGCTCCTTTCTTGGTTGCAGTCCTGGTTAAAGTCTGTCATCCTCTCATCCCCAATACCCAACCTAATTCAGCCCTGATTACCCATCTTCGACTCCTCTTCCCTTTCCAGGCCTCCCTGGAGCACGAGGAGGGCAAGATCCTCCGCGCCCAGCTTGAGTTCAACCAGATCAAGGCAGAGATCGAACGGAAACTGGCAGAGAAGGATGAGGAGATGGAGCAGGCCAAGCGCAACCACCTGCGGGTGGTGGACTCCCTGCAGACCTCCCTGGATGCAGAGACGCGCAGCCGCAACGAGGCCCTGCGGGTGAAGAAGAAGATGGAGGGCGACCTCAATGAGATGGAGATCCAGCTCAGCCAGGCTAATAGAATAGCCTCAGAGTCCCAGAAGCACCTGAAGAATGCCCAGGCCCACTTGAAGGTAACAGGAGCCAGGGCTCTCAGAAGGTAGCGAGTCAGAGTGTGTGTAGTGCCCAGAAAGATGCTAAAAGGTCTACAACCAAAACATTTTATCCCAATCTTGTCCGATCTTGGAAGCTAAGCAGGGCTGGGCCTGGTTAACACTTGAATGGGAGGTAGTAAAGGACAGGGAGTAACTGGGTTAACAAATATGAGAAGGTAGGAGCCACCTACCTCCTGGAGCAGAGCCTCAGCACTAGAGAATAAACAATGAGATAGGTGCTTACCTTCCTGTTGACAAGAGGCTGTCGGAAGGGATGGGGTGAGGTGTGCCAGACCCAAAATGAGAGGTTTGGATGGCATACGATCTATGCCCTTTCCCATCACGCTTTCCCCATAGGACACCCAGCTCCAGCTGGACGATGCCGTCCATGCCAACGACGACCTGAAGGAGAACATTGCCATCGTGGAGCGGCGCAACAACCTGCTGCAGGCCGAGCTGGAGGAGTTGCGGGCTGTGGTGGAGCAGACAGAGCGGTCTCGGAAGCTGGCGGAGCAGGAGCTGATTGAGACCAGCGAGCGGGTGCAGTTGCTGCACTCCCAGGTGAGGAGGTGCCCTGTGCATTCCTGAGCTCGGCGGTGACAGGGGAAGGAGCAGGGGAAGGACTAAGTTAGGTCCCTGTGCAGTAACCCACTGAGTGTCAGAACTCAGGATAATTTTAGAACAAGTAAGCAGGATTGCAAAGTATCTTACTTCTTGGGTCCACTCTCATCTGTTGGTAGCAGCTGGGAGAACTGTTATCTTGAGAAAGAGCAAGAGACTCAGAAGCTAAGTATGTCATGACCAAGTCACAAATCTGGGGACTATGATTCCGTTTTGTCATCTGATAGTCTTGACCTAGAGGGCAGCCTCCAGCTTGATTTGTGAAGATAGGAGCTTGGGAGAAGATATAACTGGGGCTGGAGAGATGGCTCAGCAGTTAAGTGTGTTTACTGCTCTTTTGCAAGACCTAAATTTGGTCCCCAACATCCAAGTCCCACATTGTGTCCCACAATGTCCTATAACTCTGACCCCAGAAGATCTGATATTTTGGCCTCTGTGGGCACCTGGACTCACATGTGCACACACACACACACAAACACACACACACACCGGGACTTTAAAAAACATTTTTGAGAACCGTGACTACATCTCCTTGCCAGGCAAATTGTGCAGAGGACCCCGCTTTATAAACCCCCACTATATCCGGCTCTACTCAGAACGAGTGTGCCACACTATTGCGGTGCTTTGTGTGATTTTGTTCCATAATTTAGCACGTGTGTAAGTGACACCATCCCCTGACTGTACCCTCTCCTTTAGTCAAGTACACATTCCTCTAATTATAATCATTTCTAGTTATTGTTCCTTAAAATCTTTCCATTTCTCCTGGAGCACTACGTTGTTCCATATACAAACATGTATTACTAAAGCGCTCAAGGGTGAAACTCCAGACCTTGGAGTCTGGAGCCTTTCTTCAGAGCTGAGTAATTTCCTGGACCATATTCATTCTCATGAGGTAGGGAAAGTAAGGAATATCCTGAAAGCTAAGCTTGTTTGACTTTTATTTGTATATGTACATGTATGTGCACAGCATATGTGCATATCAGTGTGCATGTGTATAGAGGTCAAAGGTTAACCCTGGGCATCTTCTTCTTCTCTCTTGAGAGAAGAGAGACCTGAGTGTGGAGCTCACCAACTGGCTGGACCAGTTGATGAGCGTCATCTGCCTCTAACCTCCCAGCACTGGGTTTACAGATGTGCGCCGCTGCATTTCCAGATGGGCGCCACTGTGTTTACAGATGTGCACCGCTGTGTTTACAGATGTGCGCCGCTGCCACATCAGCTTTCACATGGCTTCTGGGATCTGAACGTAGGTCATGTCTGTGTGGCAGGTACTTCACTGACTGAGCCATCTCCCCAGCCTTAGACGGACGGCTACTATTGCTGTGGCCTTCTCCTCCTCCCCTTCTTCTTCCAATGAATGACACCTAGTTTTCTCTGAAAAAAATATAAAACCAAGCAATAACGTGTGTATCTGATCTTTCTCTATTCATATCTAGAACACCAGCCTCATCAACCAGAAGAAGAAGATGGAGTCAGACCTGTCCCAGCTCCAGACTGAGGTGGAAGAGGCAGTGCAGGAGTGTAGGAACGCAGAGGAGAAGGCCAAGAAGGCCATCACAGACGTGAGTCCTCTGCCCTGCCTACCCACCCCAGGCCAGCATCTCCCCAGCCTGCTCAGTGAGCCCATGAGGACCAGAACAGACCACGTGTCCCTTCTCCCGTGCACAGGCCGCCATGATGGCGGAGGAGCTGAAGAAGGAGCAGGACACCAGCGCCCACCTGGAGCGCATGAAGAAGAACATGGAGCAGACCATCAAGGACCTGCAGCACCGGCTGGACGAAGCCGAGCAGATCGCTCTCAAGGGTGGCAAGAAGCAGCTGCAGAAGCTGGAGGCCCGGGTCCGGGAGCTGGAGAACGAACTGGAGGCTGAGCAGAAGCGCAATGCAGAGTCGGTGAAGGGCATGAGGAAGAGCGAGCGGCGCATCAAGGAGCTCACCTACCAGGTTGGGAGAGCAC